TTGCCTGGGCAAAGGAATATGAGGGAGATCGCGAGACACTTGGGTGCTGTGGGTCTACTCGCCTTCCAGGATGGGAACCGTGTGATCCTCACTGTGCCCGGTTAGAGACGCTACAAGATATGGCTGCCAACCGATGTCAGTGGCGTTCTTGTTGTCAGTTTCTATCCAGATTGACTGAGTGAATATCTGGAGGTGTAGGCACCTCGGAATGATTGTGGTAAGCTAGCACTAAGTCCCTTCCCCATTCATGTTTCTTCTTTTCTTCACAATAAGGCTTTCAGGTAAGTCATGGTACTTCGACAGCCAAGCATCTGTGTTGAACACATGTCATGCTGTCGATGGTGGTTACGCAATGACTAAAGAGGTGTTAGTTTAACTGTAACAAGGCTCCTGGCTTCACCGATTTTCCGGCGACTCGTGGGCATCAACCGGGATTTCGACCGGGCTGACTGCATCGTCCAGATCTTCACACCGTCAGTTGTTAGAGCAATTCTGGATGTAAAGGTGACCCACATTCTTTGTATTTTTCTACTCCAAGTGTGTTCGATCTTGTCGAAGTGTCAGTGCTGTTTACCTAACTTGCTCAACAGGGTATGTCCCAGAAGTTTGTGAACATAATCTGGTCCCTATATTCACATACTTCTGGGCGTATGAGAGTGCATGGTTAGCTCTCTAAAAGCCTCCCTAAAAAGAGTTCCGGCAAGGATGTCCAGTCTCTCCATTCTTGTTCAACTTCGTAGTTCATGAAAAATGAGGCGAATAGTTGAATTTCTTTAAAACCCTGGTATTCATCGTATTGCTGGTGAGAACCTTGTTGATCTGAAGTACGCAGACGATATTGCCCTTATATTTAAAGACGAAGGAGAAGCATAAACTGACCACAATCATAGCACCTCTCGGCGAATTCAAGCTTCAGAACGTAAAGTCTCCGAACATACCTCTTACAATTCAAAGCGAATCCCGACAGGTTGTGGGATATTTTACTTACCCCGCTGTTAGCTCTGGTGGAGATATTTTTGATGAAGTCAGTGCATGAATTTCAAAGAACGGAATCACGTCGGTTTATTTGCGTCACTTGTGGCTTCAAAGATGCATATCACTGAGTCTCAACGTTCGCGTGTACCAGACTACAGTAAGGGTGATATCATTGCATGGTTGCAAAACGTAAACTCTGCGGACGTATGCTGCGAGGCGTCTTGCGGTTTTTGACCACCGATGCATCAGAAGTGTTGTTGGTGTCGCATGGGGTCAACGAATTCGTAAAGAGGTAATTAGAAAAGGGGTATTTTGTTGTGTAGCAGGTACTTCAATCGCGGGAAACATCCAGCATGAACACTTGAGGTTTTATCGACCATGTGCACACTTGTACTCCAATATGGAAAACGGTCCGTCTGTTCATGTCTGCTTTTGCTTCCACGCTGATGGTAGTGTGATGTAGCGACCCAGTCACCCACATACCTGACTGTTCAACTCACAGTCGCTCACTGGATCGCGAGG